CGGGGACTGGGCCCGAACCGGGCCATTAATGTGGCAGGCTGAGGGCTTGCTAAATGATGAACCAGCCGGGCTGGGCCCGGTCCAGGCCAATTACTTCTTTTTTTAATTTTTCTCATTGGGTTGGCCTCTATGTGGGTGGGGTTGGCCGGTTTGGGGAGGGTGAGGGGATTGGGGGTTGGAATTAATTCGAAAAGACCAAAAAACTAAAAACAAAAATTTGAGTCCCGACCCGGCCCAACCTGATCCCGGTACAAAACCGGGCCGGTACCGGTCCTGAATATTCAGGATCCGGAGCCCGCCCCAACCCGGCCCGGAGCCCGGCCCGAGCCGGATCCGGTCCACTGTTAGGAATTTAACTCACAAACACGAAGAACAATTAAAGAACACACGAAATTTGGTAACCCAGTTCGCCACAGAGGACTGCGTCTGGGGGCGCTACCAAGCCAGGAATGTTATTAATATTTTCTGGATACAGATTACAAGAGAGGAGAGTGGTATTTATAGAGATGCAGTGTCTTGTTCCCAAAGCAACATAACCCCTAATTAAATTAGGATGTGTTTTCAAAAATAAATTAAGAAACGTGTTTCCAAGAATAAATTAAGAAACTGTCTCTAACACCTTACATCCACCCCTAGTAATAGCTATGATACACGACGAAGCCAAATAATAAGAACCTTTGTTCTTAAAATCGAACAAGGATGAAAGAGACCAAAGAAGGGACCCCCTATGAGAAATGTAATCCAGTTCAGAGTTTGAATCTGATAAGCAACCTTTTGTTGCCTCTACTAAGAAACAGAAGACATTTGCTTGATGACCCTTTGTCACCTGAGATGCAATCTTGCGTCCTGATGATGGACCGTTTCATCGAGCTTGCTTGAAGTATATATTCCCACTTCATTCTGGTTACTTATGCATTTTTTAATAGTAAACCTTTGTAACAATGAAACAGTTTTTTCTCCAACGTCTCCAGATTTGTTGATATATGTCAGTGGAGCGAAGAGAAAGTGAAAATATGATGAAATAGAGTTTCATGTATGTCAAAATGTTACATGCAACTAGTGCATCGTTAGAAGTAGGGGTGGAAAAAATCGAAAAGACACGGTATGTCACTGAATCATATAGGTACCCAATTAGATCATAATGATACTGAATTGGTTAACTTGTTTAAAGGATGGGATAATCTTTTTTCGTACATAATGGACCCCTGAACCGAACTCAAATATTATGGGATGGATTTACACTTTTAATATAGTGGAAATTACCCATATGGTCTACTTTTATGCTTCCTACCGAGTATATCATTAATGTCTTGACTACTTTCTCTTTTCACTTTTGTACTTTCTTGATTTCAATTTAATTTTTTTTTCCACTTATAGATCAGTTTTGCCTATCTCCTCCGCCGACGCAGGGGAGCTAAGACCATCTTCAACAATCACCAAAATCTCCACTAAAACAAGGTAATAGCCATTTTTTATTCCAACAGTTACACCAAATCCTACACTATTTCACTAAAATGGTGCAGGGTTTAATGTTTTACTCCATATATGGCGCAACAATGAGATCCGTGCCATCTTCCCCTTTCTATTATTTTTCTTTTTGCAAGTGGATGACCCAAAGATGTGATGCGCCATATTTGTGCAGAGATGGGATTAGGGGTGGGATAAACCGACCCAAAATCAGATAACCGAACCGACCAACCCGATATAAGACATTGGTCCGGTTTTTATATTACAAATGAACGGTCCGGGTTAAAATGCCAGATCCAAACCCGAAAACTTGGGTCCTAATTCGGGTTCTAAAATTTTAAATCCGACTTAATTAAGAACCCGATTTAATTAAGAAACTAAAAAATATATTTTATATAAAATACGTATGAAATTGATTCGGGTTCTATTAATACATCATACCGATTTATACTACACCCGTCCCAAATTGATTTGCAAAATTGATTTTTTTAGTCAAACAATACCATTTTATTCACTTAATTTGGATGTCAATTTTTAATTATATTTAATTTGGAGTTTGCAACTTTGAAGAGATTTTAATGTAGTTTTTTAATAAAGAAATTATACTAAATGGGACTAAAACATGGTTAAAACTCCAAAATAGGACTTCAAGTTTTAAATTGCCTAAATGGGACTCCAGATTACACTTTTGCCCTCCTGCAATTAAAACCCCAATCTCTCGCCCCCCCTTCTGCAATTCGTCACTGGCCACACACATCCGCAGGCCGCAGCACATCGTTGGCTTCTTCTGCAATCTACGATAGAATTCATCGTAGCAGCAGCAACTCCAGAACTCCCTTGACAGTAGCTCCACCATCGACCACAGGTATCCTTCTCCTTCTCCTTGACAGTAGCTCCACCATCGACCACAGGTATCCTTCTCCTTCTCCTTCTCCTTCTCCTTCTCCTTCTCCTTCTCCTTCTCCTTCTCCTTCTCCTTCTCCTTCTCCTTCTCCTTCTCCTTCTCCTTCTCCTTCTCCTTCTTCTTCTAATGCTCCTCAAATTGTTGGTCCTCTGTTCTCTTCTTCTTTAAATTTTTTGGATTTTTATTATTTTGGATTTTTTAGATTTTAATTGTATTTATTCAGTAAACTGCCACTTGTATAATATGAAAATGTCAAAATTATTGGTTATTTGAAAAAGAAAAATGTCACGTTTGTGGCATTATATTTACCAGGATGACAATCTGAAAATGTCACTTTTCTTTCGAAAATGTCATGAAAGTGACAAAGGATCTGCCCTCCAGTGACTCTGTACAAACCTCCATGAGGAATGCCACTTGATATGCGAGAATGCCATAAAATGGCCATAAGAATGACATTTTCTTATGGGCATATGACATTTTCAGATTGTCATCCTAAAAAATATACTGCCACAAACGTGGCAGTTTTCTTAAATAGTCAATAACTTTGACATCTCATATTATAAAAGTGGTATTTTTGAAAATAATCAAAATTAACAGATTAATTAGAATCTTAAAAGTTCACAAATTAGAAGTAAATAAAAAACCAGAAAAAAGAGGCCCATGAAGAAGAACAAGAGAAAGAAGATGAGAAGGGGGAAGAGAAAGAAGGAAGAATTAGAGAAGGAGATTACCTAGGAGGAAGGATCGCAGCTGGGAGGAAGGATCGCCGCAGCTGCTCTGGAGCAATAGCAATGGGGGTTGTCGTGCGTCGCTGGTGTGCAACCGTTTTTTAATTAAGGGTAGTTTTGTCAGATTACCTATTTTTAGTCCTATTTTTGTTAAATAAAACATAGGAGTCCTATTTTTGCAATTCTACCTAGTTTTAATCCTATTTAGGTAAATCACTCTTTTTAATATGTAAATTTAAGCGAATGACCACAATTGAAGAAATGGAGTGATATTCGTTGGTTGGAGCCATAGCTTAGTATGAACGAGTTCAAAACCTGGTATGATAAACATTCCTTACTTACAGGGGCGCACCCGGGAAGTTTATCTTGAGAGGGCGGTAACTTAAAAAAAATTGGGAGGGCGAAAATTATTTTTTGATATAAATATACACTAAAAAAAATTGTTGGAGGGGCGACTGCTCCCCTGGGTCTCTACTACGGTCCGCCCCTGCTTACTTAAACAATAAGAAATCTGCTATAGTTTTTACTTCTCCAAATGTTAGATTGATAAATTGTTGAAATATAAACATGTTAGTTTAGTAGTTGTATTACTATATATTGAGTATTCTCGCCTCTATCATACAATAAGGAGAATTTGTGTCTTAACAAGCTCATTTCTCTGTACGTAGACATTCGAGTCTTCAACTTGGGTGATGGACTCAACTTGGAATTTGCATATGTTTTCTTAATTTGAGTGAGGGTGACAGAAAAAAGATTACTGGAGAAAAAAGCACGTCAAAGGATCATTTTGTCTGTCTGTGAAATGAACAATTGAACATATAGTTTCTTAACTCATCATTGTAGCAGCCTAAATTAATTTGATAAAGGATATGACAAAGGCGCTCAGACTTGTGCTTGTTCATACATTTAGGTGTCGTAGCGGAGGTCACTTTTATCTTACAACAGGAGTCCATTAAGGATCTATTTTGAGTCCATTTATAGTTCGTTCTAGTCATGATCGAAGTTACGAGCCGAATTAAAGATGAAGAAACTTGGTGAATTAGAGCCGAATTATTCTGTTAGATAAATCTTGAGAACCTGTAAACAAAAATGTGTATTTTGGAGATCACCTTAACATCTTGGACCTATAAGCTAACTAGCTAAATAAGTCTATGAAGTTTACTGATGTAGGTTCAGCAAAATTTATTTGTATAGTACTAGAGTGAAGCTAGGATAAGATTAGAGTATTAGACTGCAAAAGAATACTGCTTCTACAGCCTCCAAATCCATTCATACTAAATTAGAAGGGCTAGTAGCAACAATGAAGTTGGAGAAGAATAGGGAATATTGCTAGATGTCTGTTGTTTTTGTTAAAATAAAAAGCATGATTGGTGGAAAAACTAACTATTCAATCAATACTTTCTTTAAATTAAGTGGGAAAAAAAAGTGGAAATTTTTAACACAACATTCATTTTGTTTGCCTTAGCATTGTTCTGGACTTTTATTTTAATTTAGCCTCTTTTTATTAGAAATGATTTCCTTGGGCTCCATTTAAAAATACAGCTCTGTTTGAAAAGAAGCTCGTTTTGATGAGTCAAAATAGAGTTACAAGAAAATTTAAAAAAAATACTCCCTCCGTCCCTATTATAACTTCCGTTTCAGCCTGGCACACAGTTTAAGAAAAGGGAGTTTTTGGCTTTGACTTTCCATCCTTGCCCTTTTAGTTTTACCGCAGGAAAAAGGGAAATGAACAGGGAAAAAGCAGACGAAGTTTTCTGAGTGCTGTATACAGTAAAAGGCAGCCAACTTTTAAAATATTTTCGTAGTGCTGTGCACAGTAAAAGCAGCCCACTTTGGAAAAGATTTTTCTTAGTGCTGTGTACAGTAAAAAGCAACACACCACTCCAAAGTTTCCTACTCCGCAAAAAACAATCTGAAAAGTTTCACTTTGGCGGGACTTTTCAGCATTCCCTCCAAAAATACACAAGCTACTTCGTAACATACAATCTGTCTATAAATAGCAAGCCATATCCCACAGAAATCAGACTCAGAAATTATCACAAAATAACAAGAAAATGGAAGTTTCTGAAATTGTGAACACAACCAAAAAAAGACTTTCCGATGAAGCTAAGCAGCATATCATGCAGGAACTTCTGGCCAAGTCCACAGATGGCAAGGTGATGAAAGGAGTGAAATCTGCACTAGCTGCACAACATGAGGTGTCAGTAAGGTGTATCACACATATTTGGCAGTACATAAGGAAAAGCCAAAGGGAGGGTGTAACAGTCAATGTTGACAGAAAAATGGCTGGAAAGGTAGGTAAGAAGACAGTAATACCACCTCCTTTTGACCTTACAAATATAGAACTACATCGAAGGAAGAGCATAAGAAGTTTGGCAAAGGCGATGGTCAAACCCAAAACAAATGTGCACAGATTCATTCAAAAAGGTTTGATTAAGGTACACACAAATGCTATAAAACCATTTCTGACAGACTCAAATATGACAAAGAGGCTGGAATGGGCCATTTCACACATTGTCCCACAGTCAACGTCTTCTCATCCAGTGTTTGAACCCATGTTCAATTGTGTACATGTGGACGAGAAGTGGTTTTACATGACCCAAGTCTCACCGAGGTATTATCTTGGTCCGGACGAAGCGGAGCCTTACAGAACTTGTAAGTCCAAGAGATTCATCACAAAAGTGATGTTTCTCTGTGCTGTGGCAAGGCCAAGATATTCGCAAGATTCAGAACTCTTATTTGATGGGAAAATAGGTATTTTCCCATTCACTGAATTTCAGGCAGCAAAAAGGAATAGCAAAAACAGAACACAAGGCACAATAGAGGAAAAGGCAATAGACAGTGTCAATAAAGATGTCTATAGAGAATATTTACTCAGAAAAGTGCTCCCTGCCATCAAAGCCAAGTGGCCAATTGATGCATCTGGAGATATTTATATCCAACAAGACAATGTCAGACCACATATACACCCTGATGACAGTGAATTCATGGCAGTGGCTACTACTGAAGGTTTTAACATAAAACTATCATGCCAACCATCCAATAGCCCTGATCTAAATATTCTAGACCTGGGCTTTTTTAGGTCAGTTGAGTGCTTACAACAGGCCAATCGAAGTAAAACAGTTTCAGAGTTAGTAGCAACAGTGACCAAGGCATATGATGAGTTCAGTCCGTATACTTTAAACAAGGTTTGGCTATCACTACAGTTGTGTATGAGGGAGATATTAACTGTTAAGGGTAACAACAACTATAAAATGCCGCACATAGGAAAGGACAGCTTACATGCTCATGGGGAACTACCTATCTCAATTCATGCAGACGCAACACTAGTGAGGGAAGCTATGGAGGTCTTGGCTAATGGTAGCACTGAGCCTTAGATAGGTACTGGTACTGGTAATTGGGATCAGACATGATCTAGTTTTTTTGCTTGTTTGGTTTTTGGGTACAGACATGATCTGGGTTTTTGGCTTTTGTTGTTATTGGCTACAGAAAGCCTCTTGGGTTTTTTGGTTTTTAGGTACAGACAGGATCTTGGTTTTTTTGTTTTTTGGTTTTTGGGTACAGACAAGATCTTGGTTACAAACAATGTACACAAACAAAACACTGTCATCAGCTATATATATGAAGGCATATTATCTTATTTTCACTCAGTAGTTGGCACATTTCATCACAGTAAACTCTAAGAAGACACATATGCAACCGCATAATGTCAACTCATAAACTGCCACCCTTAAAGCCCATCAGTTAGTGCATAACATCACTTGGGCAGAGAGGTAGTCTGGTCAACATTAATTATGCATACATTCCCTTTGGCAACACAAAGGAAACTCATCCAGTTAGGGCACATCATTTGGTTACACTATCAGATTAGTGAACATGATTGAAGTCATTATACACTGTAAGAAGAAACACATATGCAATTTCATAATGTCAACTCATAAACTGCCACCCTTAAAGCCCATCAGTTAGTGCATAACATCATTTGGGCAGAGAGGTAATCTGGTCAACATGAATTAGGCATACATGCCCTTTGGCAACACAAAGGAAACTCGTCCAATTAGGCCATAACATCATTTAGGCATACAGACAGTCCGGTCAATTAGAATTAGGCATACAGGCAAATAGGTAACATACATAGCATTGCATCCACTGAACTTGAAACCAAATTAGGCAACATAGTCATGCAAGCAAAAAGTGGAACTTATCACCTTGATTTTTTGGGAGTAGGCAGAAACATTGAAGCCAGTTTTTCTAATCTTTCTTGAACTTTCCAGTCCGGGTCAGCGTGAGCACGAGCAGGTGGAACATACCCCACATTCGTTGTATCCACTGGCTGAAGGTAGATGGATACCATATCGTCATAGGAGGATTTACCTCTTCGGGTCAAATGCATCGGTGGAACAATCAAAGACCCGGACTCCTCTTGCTCAGATCTCAAGCGTTTTTGTGATTTCAATCCTTCTCCATTGTCAGAAATGGGGACGAACCCGACCTCAGAATCCAGGATGACATCCGTCAAGATCTCAGCCTCAGGGACGAAGCCGGGCAAGATCTCTGCCTCAGGGACGAAGTCGGGCAACATCTCACCGTCAGGGACGAAATCGGTCCATCCGGATGAATCCTCCGAGTCCTCAACCACCACACCATTAAAATCACCTTGCATGGACAAAACCAGCGAACTTACAACCATTAATGGGTGTGTGGGTGGGATGACTGCGGTTGAATGACAGAGATGGAGGAGAGTTTTCCAGATGGGAATGGAAGGAATAATGAAAGAACGGAGAGAGAAGGGAGAGAAGGTGCGAGAATATGGACGGATTGGTTGGGTGGGGTAATAACTGCGCAGGTTGATACAGACGGACGATGGGGTAATTAATTCTGAGGGTAGTGGGGTAATTTTAGGTTAAAAACCTTTCCTAATATAGAAAGTGGAAGTTTTAATTGGGACGGACGAAAAAGGAAAGTTGGAAGTTTTATTAGGGACGGAGGGAGTAGTAATTTAGTGTAAATTATCACTTGTAATCTATGAAGCATGGATACTTCACTAGGGTGCCGTATCGGCGTATCGGAAATGTTCCCGTATCCGATACTCTAGGATACCCGTACCGTACGTTCCCGGGCCGTATCTGCAATTTTTAAAAGTTTCCATTTTTTTGGATACTCGTATCCTGATGGTCGTGATGGATACACGTATCAACTTTTTTAAAAACAAAAATCTTCCAAAAAAAACTTTTTAAAAAAACACTCAAAATTTACACAATTTAATTCTTAAAAAAATGAAAAGCTAAAAATAATTTTTACCTTCTTTTATGTGGTACACAACTAATGGGGTTATTCCTAATTCACCCATCCTCCTATCCCTAACTCTAATTATCCCTGGAAATTAATAGCTCCAACGGAAATATGTATTAGAACTTTTAAAATATTATTTTCCATCTTCATGATGGAGTTTAATCCAACTACGAGAGCTAATTCACGAAAGTGTATGAACAAATATGCATGGGCATCGTAAGGCGATAATTCTTATTAATCATGGATCCGATCCCTGTCTAGGAAATATACAGGAAGTATTTATAGACTCTAGGAGCTAGTATTTCAGGAGGAATCTGATACAATAAATGCTATTAATTACATCCTTAATTGAATAAGTCTCTTGTAACGTCCAGGACGTTATGCAATGATTATCTCCTTTAAGTTCGCGTTCCTTTGTTGAATCTCGCCTGTTGCCAAATAGCTATGCTCGAATGATAGCCTGCCACGTAAGCCCTAGGAATAGCCCAGCCTCACTAGAACTCTGCCCAGGCTCGAGGTCTGTTGTCCAGGCTGGCCTGGTTGTGGGTTTCTATCGTGGGCTCGATTCCTTTTTAGGCCCAGCGACTTAGTATCTTAATCCCGTTTTAGGGCTTGATCCTGTTCATGGGCTAATCCTGTTAATTAGGCTAATCCCGTTACGGGCTGACCCCGTTATGGGCTAATCCTGTTAATTAGACTAATTCTGTTAAGGGCTGATCCCGTTTATGGGCTGAATTATGTAATTGGGCCTGGTTTGAGTCCATGGTACCAGCATTTCATTATTCTAGAACTTTGACTACTTGCATTTTTAATTTCAAAAATATAGTTGTTTGACATATATCTCATTTTAAATTAATGTCTTATTGACTATATTTATATTTCGAGATGCACTAGCGCATATGAGATAAACTATGAATTTATTTCTAAGTATCTTGAAAATGTAAAATGTTCCAATGCCATGAATGGGTAGACGTCAGAGGATAATATATGTGTATTTTTTTCAAAATAAAAATGTATTTTTAGTATTTATAAACACACCCCTATAACTTTTAATATTTATAAATACACCCCATAACTTTTAATATTTATAAATATGGCCCCGTATCCGTATCCTACTTTTTTTTTGTTTCGTCGTATCCCCGTACCCGTTTCCGTGTTTCCGCGTATCCGCGTACCCGTATCGGTGCTACATAGCTTGTAATTATTGAGCCTCACCTTTTTGTTCCCTCATGGTTCTGTACTTTCATTTGATTTATTTACTATTGTTGTGTATTCAATGTTCATACTCAGCTTCTAATTGATATACATCCAGAAAAGAGGTATCTTCATCTGATCGGAAAGGTTGTGGTGGTCTCGAGTAGAAGAAGTATTTTTGTGATTGACAAAATACTACAACTTGGTAGAGGAAAAGTTTGCAAGTGGCAAAAGAAATTACACATGATTCTATCATAAATTGAATATGTATTATCATGAGAAACTTGCGCATGTTGTATTTATTTACTTTGTTTCTTTTTGTTGCATATTGTTTTGTTTTGTTGTATGTTGTTGCATTTTGTTGTATCTTGTTGCTATTCTTGTAAACTGTTACATTTTGTTGTATGGTGTTTCTTTTCAATTTTCCATTTATTTTAGCTACTTTAGCACAATCTAACAATACATACTTAAATGATACATTCGGATATATGAATATTATTAACCACAAGAAACATCAAGAAACCATAAATAACAAATATTTCAAAATTATCGACAAAAATAAACACAAAGAAATCATATGCAACAAAACTAACAATTAAGTTATTTGAATAATAATTATTTTTTTCAACTAATTTTTGAAAAAATCAAAACATATTTTCTAATTTTAACAATTTAATCAATTAAGTATTTTCGTTACTTCTGTTCACATTTTTAAGAATTTTTTAAGTATTTTCTTGTTTACTTTAGTTTTCTGAATTTTTTGTGAATTTAAAGAGTATTATTTTATGTTTTTCTTTATTTTAAAAAAATCCTTTTTATTTTCATTTTTTTACATTTTTCTCGCGCTTTAATATTTTACATGATTTCTTGACTCAAAAAAAAATATTTTGCCTGATTTCTTGTTTAATACTACTTGTACTTCTCTGGTTTATAATTTTTTTATTATATTTTTAAAACTTTAGTATGATTTTATAGAACTTTTTCAAATTTAAATTAATTAATTTTTACATTTTACATTGCGTGGATTCCATTTTTTTGTAAAATTTAATGTTTCATAAAATATTGGTATTGCTTTCTTATTTTTAATAGTTCAGTATTTCGGTATTCGGTATTCGGAATGTGAAAATGCATAACCGAAATTTCGGTTTACAGAAATTTTGATTCAGTTCGGTATTACCGAATGAACACCCCTGGGCCACAGTGACACTGTAACCCTGATCACAGTGCCCCTGCCATAGTGATCCCACCACCGCCGGTTACAACCACCCCATCACGGTCCCTCACTTCCCCAATCACCATCTCCCACCCCATACCCCACCCACTGCGCGCCCACATCCCTGGCCACCTTTCCCACCCTTTTTCGCACCAAAATGTAGTTGTCGCCCAGGAAGCCTAGCCCCCCATTAACCCGTTGATATGTTTGTATTTCAACACACGTTTGATGCGTGTTGGGGGTGGTTTTTATCATTTTGCCAAATATATATGAGTCACAAAGCATTTAATTAGCTCAAGTCACGGTTTACCGGGTTTGGTTTGCGTTTGTTGATAATTGAAAATAAGAATTTGGACTCGGCATCAGCGTTAGAGTTTAATATGAGAAGATTTGGGACGCTTTCGAGGGATGACAAGAAGCATCGGAGGTCCACGGGACGAGTAAGGAGCATGATTAAAGTCAAAAGAGGTCACAGAATTAAGATGAGCTCGATTGGGGTCGAACGAGGAAGAAAAGAGCAAGAAAATGGTTCAAAAGATGTTTAGGCTCAGACACGATATGTCTAGTACAGACAAATATTGTCTGTTAGACATGAATCTTTTGCCAGACCCATATATGAAATGTCTGGCATAGACAAATTTTGTCTGTTAGACAAAACTCTTTTGTCAAAACCAGACACGAATTGTCTGGGTCAGACAAATGTTGTCTGTTAGACATAACTCTTTTGTGAGGCCCAAATCGAAATGTTTGACCTGTTAGACAAAACTCTTTTACCAGGCCCAAACACAAAATGTCTAGCACAAACAAATATAGTTAGAGAAAATCCTACTTAACATATTAGCCCGTTTCAGTGACTATTGTATGTGGTCAGACATTTCATATTAAAACCCTGATATGATATAAAAGCCAACTAACAATTAAAGATATGGGATTAATGAACAAAATTGAGGACATGCCCTCCTAAGATACAATAAACCAAAATAAAGGGAAACAAAGTTGCCCTAAGCAATATGCATGACCTGTATATCAATAAACAAGGTAAAGATCTCATTACATAAAATAAAAAACACTCTAACAAATGGATTTTCCTTTTTCATGGAAGAATACTCCAATTTACAATATCTTTCCTAGTCCTTAACTATGCGTTTGAAGTATACATATTACATAGTAATGACAACCGCAGATCTAGTTAAGAGAAGATGTCCGGTAGCAATGGTGCCATTTGTAATTGGAATCCCCTTCAACTGCAAACTTTTGGAATCCCCTTCAACTGCAAACTTTGTTTTCTGGTAACGAAAAATAAAAAACATACGAGCTCTTAACATTCTTATCTCTCATTGTTGGTTTGTCCTTTTGCTTCCGTAATTCTTGAAGTCGCTTTGGACCAAGTCCTCTATAGTTGGACTTTTTTTAGAATTGCTGGTGCATCACTTCATAATGTAACTACTCATCCGAAATTGAGTCAACTCACATGTTACGCCATTTGACTTTTCAAATGCCTAAATTAAGCCTTTCAACTTGCAACTTTACTTCAATAGTGAAACAAAATCTCATGAAATCCACAAAATTTTCAAATAAAGTATTCACCTGTGTAATCATTTTTTAACAAAATTAAAATCAAACTTCTCATTTAAGCAAACATTAAGCATGGAATTGTGGTAAAGTATCGTATAAATGAGGAACAAATTCTAGTTTATCATATAACAATTTCTATCATGACAAACAAGTTCACAGAGAAGAAATGTAATTTAAATGACACATTCTCAACTTCAAAGCTAAGTTTCTCAAAATCTTAAACTCAAATAGAGGCTTTCACAAAGAAAAGAAATGCATTTTTCATCATGACAAACAAAACAAGACAATCATTTCTAGAATTACGTACTTTAAGAAACTAACTTTTAATAGTAAGCATATGGATTGATTATAAGCATCTCCATACAACCTCCACTTCTCCAGTTATTATACATGGCATCATGTGTACAAGTCTCACCAACATCTAACACTGATAAATTGGATAATAAAAAATTGGCATTATATGAAAGAAGTTTGTAAATTCACTAAAGTAAATGACATACTCTAAACTCTCTTGAATAGATTAAGTCCAAATTAATTCACCACAATGTAATGAGAGAGAGAGCAATCAAAAGAGTAGCTTTTCTTCATACAACTACAAAGTTGAACTTGAGCCTCTTACTTGGCTGGATGAAAACCAACAAAAGAGCCAATTTAACTCTTTTGGTAAAAAATCTAATTTTACTAATGTTAATCACTAAAATTTCTAAAGTAAGTATAAAAAATTCACAACAATAAAGTAAAATAGTCAATTAAACAACACTATACATATTTTAAACTGGAAAAGTATAAAAAAAAAATTTAAAGACATCAAACATAACATCACATAAAAGCCATAATTGAAACATTTCAATAAACATCTTATGGGCATAATAATGACATAGAGTAGTGGGACTAATTTTTTAATGATAAACATCACAAAATAATCAATATATTCAACATTACAACACATATTACACATGAAATAAAAATAACAACAAAAAATCAAGAAAGAAAGAGACGTACGAGAAAGGAAGAATGCTGAGATGAGAGGTGGAAGAGAGAAGAGGCATCAGATCATCAAACCTTCATTGTTTGTATACTTGGCCAATTCCTCAAGTAACCCTTGAAATCCTCCCTGCAAGGGTGCCTCTTTTAGCGGTGGCTACGTGTTTGAAGGCAAAAAAATAGAGCTTCACCAACTAGGAAAATATTCAGTGGGTTGTTCGGCAGTGACATTTTCATCGGATTAGAGCTTTGAGAGACTGAGACCTGAGCTGGGAAAGAAATTGTTGGACTTTAATTAGTTTTGGTTCACATAGGGTTACACCTCTTTATTTACAATTCACATCGATAAAAAAAGTACAAATACAGACACTTTCAACAATTTGTCGATGCGAACAAAATTTGATTTGTTGATTGATGTACCTTTTTTGGATCTGTCAGGTTGGTTGCATGAAAACCAATGTCGATGTACATAGACATTAGTTGTTAGTTGTCTGTGTAGACAAAAAAATGTTTGTACATATACAATTTTTGTCTGTGTACACCGACACTGCAAGAAAACCACTGTCGTTATACACTCATTTTTTGTCCATGGCAAAAATTTATAGAATGTTTATAGCTTTTAAGTTTCATCTTTCATTATAGACATTACTTATCTTTATTTAACACGATACAGACAATATTTATATACCATACAGACAAAAATTCCGGCAGCTCTAATTTTCCGGTGAATTTTCGGTGAATTTTCGGTCATTCTCAAATAACATTTTTTTTTGTGAAAACGATGATGGAAAATGATGGTGAAGATGATGATGGAAGATGACGGTGAATAAATCATAAAAAGAAAGAAAAAGAAGAAGATGATTAAGAATGAGAAAGAAAGAAAGAAAAATGAAAAAGGAGAGAGAGAAAAGTGGGAATGGAGGGAAGTGAAAAAACGGGGTTACATTGGGTGTACCTTAACCAAAATTCCCGTAATTAATACTCCCCCGTCCCATTTTATCTATCTTACTTTCCTTTTTGGGTTGTTCCAAAATAAGTGTCTCTTTTCTTTTTTTGGAAAGAAATATGTGGTCTACACCATTTCAATTTATTAAACTCAAATCTCAATCACAACTTTAACTTTTTCAACCACTTCATTAATAACTGTGCCGAGTCAAATTAAGACACATGAAATGACGGATGTAGTACGTAGTGTGTTGAGATCACTTTCATTGATCAAAGACTAATCAACAGAAGGAATTAATAGAAATAATGACAGATATGGTACGTGTGAGTTTTAGTTGGACAATTATGGGACCTATTCTCAAATAGACAAGAAACAGATCAATTAAAAATGAATGGTCTCAAATAACCCGGCCTTTTTCTTCGTCCGCTATGTCTGCTTCGCATAACACACACCAGAGGCTTCAACTCTATCTACTCCCAATCGGACAACTAGGGACGTCGCCGCTTCATCTCGTCGCCTTTGCCGGTGCATTCCGCCGCACACAAGTCGCCACTTCCGCCACACAGAAGTCTCCACCGCCACTACTCTGTTGCGCATTCCTTCTTCGTCGTTGTACTCATCATATGTCGCCGCAGTTGTTCATCTACTCCGATATGGTGGATGTCGTCTCTTTTCCGCACTGCTGGCGTCGCTATAACTTCTATCTTCTACTCCTTTCTTCTCACCCATGACCGCTACCAGTTTCATGGATCTGGCTATAAAGAATTTTGTAACAGATCTGATATCGAGTTATGGAGATCCAACGAAATCAGGGGTCCGTTTATTTTTTTCTGCAGGGGGTTGGAGCAAGCGGCGGGGTGGGGGTTGTGGGAGAGATTGGGCAGTGGCTTGGGTGGGGTTGGGGCAGGGATAGATAGACGGAAGGGAAGGGGCTGAGTTGGGAGAGGCTACGAAGGCTGGTCATTGGTGGTTGTTGCCGGTGGCGGCGATAGCCGTGACGGCGATAGTGGTGGCCGGAGGTGGTGGTAGCGGTGGTCGACTAGGACCGCCGCCGCTTCAATCAAGTAATTGTAACTGATCGGGTATTGTCAATGCTCGGGTTGAGCAACTTTAATTGGTCGGATTTGGTAACTTTAATTGGTCGGATCGAGTAACTGTAATTGATTAGATCGAGTAACTGTAATTGCTCGGGTAAGATAATTGTAATTGTTCAGGTCATGTAATTGTAATTGGTCAGATCGAGATAACTGTAATTGCTCGGATCGGGTAATTGTAATTGTTCGGGTCATGTAACTGTAATTGATCTGATCATGTAAATGTAAGGGGGTGTATTGTATTAGGAATTAGTGTCAAAATTTTAAAAGTCAATGGATTTTAAAAGTTTAGGTGTATTCAATGTGGACTTTTAAAAGTCCACAAAAGTCTAGGTGTATTCAATGCGGACTTTTAAAAGTCTAGGCGTATTCAAATTTCCGTTCATTCTTATTGACTTCTAAAATCATGGATTCTCGTGGACTTTTAACTCATTTTTAGTGCAAAAAATCTCTGCAATTGTCTCTTCTCCTCACCAAAGATTTCCGTGGACTTTTCTTATATCGGTTCTTCATCCCGTCCCACCCCATTCCTCCCCTCCCTCCTAGGGATGGACCAGGCCCGACCCGATTTCGGTTCCGAGTCAGGCCCGGCCAGGTTTTTTGGATTTTTGGTCACTAATGATTTTTGGTCACTGGACGTTGGTAACTGGACGGACGAACGTTGGTCACTGGTCGAGGTTGATTACTTGACGACATTTTTGGTCACTATTAATTTTGGTCACTGACAGTTTTTGAATTTTTGGTCACTAATAATTTTTTGTCACTGGAAGATTTTGGTCACTGACGGATTTTTGGATTTTTTGTCACAAATGATTTTTGGTGACTAGGTGGATTGGTCATGGTCACTAGTCAGATTGGTCACTGGACGGGTTGACTAAAAATTTTACCAGATAGCGTGACCAAAAATTGTGGTCACTAAAAATTAGTCACTAAATTTTACGCAGTCGATAACGTGGCTGGCTAATTCATGGCTATGCATGAGGCAGCGACGGCATTCCCAGATAGCCTCTCAATCTTCATTGCTGATTACCCAACATTTCTCTCGATTTTCTTTCTCTTCGTTTCCACATACATTTTAGCCTAAGCAAAGCTGAAATCAATCAATGGCAGAAGAGAAGAAGCCGTCGGTGGAAATCAACAAGCTGAGGTTCACCTACCCAGGAATCGATGGCCACCCGCCGCCTGGCTCCACTCCACTCATCGACGATTTCTCCCTTACTCTTTTTCCTGGTGACCGCTATCTTCTAGTTGGATCTAATGGCGCAGGTTTGATTTCTGCCATACTTTCTATATACTGCTGCACTTTTATCCGGCGGCAACTACGCTTGATCTAAAAATCAGCCAGGTCATTGAAATTTCTTGGATTGTAGTTGATAATCTGATATTGCTTCTTTTCGTTGGTGAAAAATCTCAGGGAAGACGACAATTCTCAAGATACTGGGAGGGAAGCATATGGTGGAGCCACATATGGTTAGAATTTTAGGACGATCAGCATTTCACGACACTGCTTTGACTTCTTCAGGCGACCTTTGCTATCTTGGGGGAGAGGTTTATTCATTTTCTTTTCTTCGCTTACCTCTTTGTGGCTTAAGGTTTTCTTCATTCTCTCCATGCTGATTCTTAGCTTTAGCCTTTAGCTACTGTTTGCTTCTGTTTGGAAATTAAAGTAAAGTTTGATAGAACTTTGAGTAAAACTTGTAGTCAGTATTGTTATTTTGTTTCCATTTGAAGTTATCAATTAAAATGAGTATGGTGTTGTGCATGTATAATGATGAAACCTTTTTTCCATTATAATGAGGAACTGGTTCAGCTCAGTTGGTAGCCGACTCACTCTCCCATATCTCCCATATGTGGAAGGTTCCGGATTCGAAACTACAGGCTCCCCCAACCCCCTCCCTTTGACCAACTTGGGGTAAAAGAAAGGGAAAAAAATGAAACCTTTTTTATGCCAATCCATGGAGAAAAATCTCAATATTTGAGCTACTCACTACCTTTATGAAATTTTGGCTACGCTGCTAACTAAAGTTGCTAAAGGGAGTACACTCCATAGCTTTCTCCTTGCTAAATAGGTTGTTAATTGTAAACATGTGGCCAAATTTGTATAATAAATTACCACCAATTGTGCACTCTGCTAAAATGGTGGCCTATTCACAGTGGAGGAGAGAAGTTGCTTTTGCTGGGTTTGAGGTGCCTATTCAAATGGATGTCTCTGCTGAAAAAATGATATATGGGGTTACAGGTGTCAATCCCCAAAGACGAGATGAATTAATTAAGGTAAGGCATATTTCTAAACCAAGCAACATGATACAAAGTATGAACATTGTTGGCATGATTATTTCTTTCTTTCCATTTGCTTAATCTTTGCATGGTTAGTTGGTCACCTTTGATCTCTCATTCTTTCTATAAGCTCAGTCCCACCTTAAAGAAATTGTAAGATTAGACCTTGAGTGTAAAGAGAGGTTTCTTTCTACTCAGCTTACAATCCTTACATGTGAATTTTAAAATTATACTATCTCGCGTTGAGAGGTGTGGAGAATTTGCAGGGAGGAGAGGGAAAGGAAGATCCAAACAGTCGTGGATTAGAGGAGTTAGGAGTGATTGCTACTTCTCTGGTTGGTTGATAGTATGACTTTAGAGAGAGGGGAGCGGAGGCAACATATTTGGGTGGAGGATTGACCTCTTTTCATCTTTTTTTTATCTTTCGTATATTCTTTATCTATTTATCTTTTTTATTTTTATCTTATCTTCTCTATCTCTTTACCTTTTTTTTTAATCTTTGTTACTTTTTTAAGCTCCGATTTCATATGTCGATTCATGTTAGTTGACCCCTAACTCTTTTGGGACCAAGGCATGAATGTTGTTGTTGTACTGTCATGTTCCCTGTTTTTTATTTAAAATTAATTCATCAAACTAACTCTTCTTCTTTTGTTTGCTTAATTTTATCATTCATTTAGAACCCTTAAATTTGTGTTTATTAAATTTCAATGTAGTTGGCCTTTTTAGCCTATCCCAATACAAAAAGGTAAGGAGGATCAAAGAGTTAATATCACTTGTATCAATAAGATGGTGTACTTTGACAATTTTCAAATTTGGGAAACTAAATTTTTTCAAAGGCTCATATCTTTTTGTTTTTCCTGCGTCCCTGACTCCCTGTCATGGAACCTAAGTGTTAAATATAGTCTTGTTTTCATAAATACAAAATACACTTCAAGAAGAAGTGTTGGGAAACTAAATTGCTTTAATGGCTCATATTTTTTTTCCTGCCTCCCTGTCATGGAACCTAAGTGTAAAATATAGTCTTGTTTTGGTGAATGCAGAATACACTTCCAGGAGAAGTGCTAAATCCAAATTGCGGTTGTGGTTTTCACAGTACTTTGTCATATTGTGTGTGTGTGTGTATATATATATATATATATATATATATATCATGATAGATTTTGGTTCAAGTGAGAAATGCATCTAATGTGAGAAATGAGAATGAATCTTAGCCGTTGAATTTACGATTTTGCACTGAAAATAGCTTGATGTTGCAGTAAGATTTAAATTTTTACAGTGTTGCACTAAAACTATTTCATGCTGCACTAAAATTTGATGATGTTGCACCAAAACAGCTTCATGTTGCACTAGACGATTGTAATACAGATTTTTCAAAAAATGTCACCAAACTAAGTTGCATATTTCAATGCAATATAAAGCGTTTTTACTACAAAATATTCGAATCTAACGGCTGAGATTCATTCTCATTTCTCACCTAAAGGCTTCTTCTTATTTGAACCTCACCCTATCATGATATATATAGATATATATATTTCCATCATTTTCAATAGAGTCAAAGACTCAATATTTTTTGGCTTGGGAATATGATGGAATAAAGCAAAATGGCTCACTAAACTATCTGTGTTTCTTTGCTATGAAGCAACAGTCAGTCCATGCAATTTTTGACGCGATTTTCACTATGGGTCATCCGGAAGCGGTCTCTCTATGCTTTAGTATATGGGTAAGATTGCGTACATCTGCCCCCCCTTACCCCACCGTAGGTGGGAGCCTTTGCGGCATTGGGGTAATGATGATGATATATACCGTGATATGATGAAGCGAAAATGTAAACAAATAAAAAAGGTTTTACGAATAGATGAATAGGTGATGTTTACTGGGGTGCCTGAGGTATAGCTGTGTTGAGAATGACCTAAGTACTCCCTTTTTGGGCAAGGTATACTGATTGACAGGTGAGTTGTACTAATGGGGAGATGATTTAGACTCCATGAAATATCTGTATGGGAGATCTGGCTGCTCCATTTTCAATTTACAGTCACTCCTGGGGATTTGTTAGGCCCTTTTGTTTTGGTATTAAGTTTTGGGTGGTGAGGACGCAAGGTTTAGAGCCCCAGTTGTGGCAGTGAGACTAGTAACTAACGGTAGAAATGTAGTAGCTGTAATATTAAAAAATACTCCCTCCTTTCCTAAATTATTGCCCAATTTGACTGGGCACAGAGCTTAAGAAAGTAAACTGTGATGGTTGAGATCTTCAAATCGCTTTATTTCAAATGAAATGAGAAAAATGTAGAAAATTTAGAGACGAGTATCTTTTTGAACAAGTTGATTCAAGAAAAACAATATTTTCTCCAGTCCTTAACTTTTTAAGTTATTAATGCACATTAAATTTTTCCTTCCACAATTATCCCTCTCAAAATTTCTATAAAAAAAATGACCCCCCATCCCCAAGAGCCCTGAGGACCGGCTTAACAGTTATAGGGAAGGAGGTAATTGGACTTTAATCACAGGCTTGAGAGACTGATTCTGGCCCAGATTTTGCTCGGAGTTGAACCCGGACTTATCCCTTGTATCACTCCCTTCATACCAACTGAACTATGCTCCTTGGTTCGGAATTTCCATAAACATATTACTATTAAAACAAGTAAGGGCATATTAGGATGTGGAGACTATTTCTAATGATTTTGATCATTTTCTTAGCTTGTATGCAAGCCAAAACCGTACATTATAATATGGACAAGAGGGAGTACTAAAACGATTGAATTAATATATAAAAAGGGAAGGGAATATTCTGTCTGAGTTTAAAAGACAAGAGGATGATAAAGACATATAGGAGATCGAGAGATGCACGACAATTAAGAACCACAACAAGACGTCTCAAAACAAGTACACTTCCACCAAGACATAAGTTACCGAGCAATTTGGCTATGGAGTATCCCGATAACTCAACACGCAAAGCCAAACGTCTAATGTATGGGGCAACACTTGACATAAATCACTATTTCCAAGAGTTACGACTAAACTTCAATCTCCCATTGCCATGACCTTATAACCCGTCCTATTACATTCTCCAACATCAAAACAATCCAAATGATCAAGGAGGAAAGTGGAAGTTGCGTTAACTTGAATTCTTAAACTTTATTTGTGCAACTGTTTAGCAATCTTACATTGGATTCTTAGGTGAAACAATGTACATTTGATGCATGTGTCACTTGCTTGCTCATTGCGGACAATGCACCTCAAATGGGGTAGAACTTGGTGACTCAGAAGTCCGAAATGCTAAAGTTTTGTCAAATAAATTCAAGATTGATCCAAGTTTTATCAGTTAACTCAATTTTAGCACTTTTTATGTTTGCATCAAGCATAACATGTCAAGTTGATCTACGTAATTTGATGAACATTTTGTTTACATGTTTTACACATGTTAACATTAGGCCTTATCACGAATTAAATGGATGAATTCCGGACAAATATGTGTTCTTCTTCTTAGAACACCCAACAGAAAAGAATGGATTAAGTGGCAGAGAATTAGCATGGAGCAAATATATATCTCAACAGAAAATGAAAGCTGGAAGGCGTCTGATGTTACGGAATAGCTACCAGGATCAATTGTCTTTTGCCTGTGAACAACTACTTAAGCTTTTGAAATATAACATATGGATGAAAAGCGTCTGACTTTCACAGATAACCGTCCAGTTTTTAAATATTGCTAATTCCACATAGTTTCCATCAAGTGAAAGCCACACAGCTCTGCTGAAAAGCTGTCAGGCTTGTTCTGATTATAGTCAAAATGTCAAATCAGGCTACACTGAATAGCATTATTTTGGAAACAACAAAATTGTCACAAACTGTGAAATCTTGTCCAATGATGGCGAATGAGCTTGCACTCCATTCCTTCAAGGATCATCAATTTTTTTTCCCAAATAAAATTACCATTTCCTTCACCTTGAAGAAGTCCCTTTGTTGAAGAGTTGTCATAACTCATGATAGTAGATTGGTGTTTTGGATGTTATATCTATAATGTATTTGAGTTTGCTTTACATTATAAGCTTTATTTTATCATTATGAGATTTAGAAGCTCCTTGGACCTATTGGACCCTTTTATGAGTCTTAGAAGCTAAAATCCACAAGGGATGAACCTATACACACACACACTATATATTTGATATGTCATATAAACCAATGTCTTACTCCCTCCATCCCATTTCACCTGTCTTACTTCCCTTTTTGGGTTGTCCCAAAATAAATGTCACCTTCCCTTTTTGGAAAGAAATATGTGGTTCACAACATTTCACTTTACTATACTCAAATCTCAACCACAACTTTTACCTTTTCAACCACTTTATTACAAATTGTGCCAAAACCAAAGGAGACACATAAAATGGGACGGAGGTAGTATGATGTATCATTTGTGTTATAATTGTTTAAGACTATGGTGTACAATGTAAAAGTACCAAAGTTTTGGTTCTTACTAGTAATTAATCTTAAAAGCTTTTAAACCTTGCACTGAAGGGATAAACCTATTTTTATTATGTTTTTTTTTGCCGGGGAACATTTACCAGATTTTATCAAAAAATTATTTTAAGTACAAAAAGAGGGGGGTACTAGACCAATACCCCTCCAACGAAGCATACCTCTGAAGTAAAACAGAAGAAAATAAACAACGAATCATTGGGGGGCTAGACCTGACCCAATGAAAATTCAACAAAGGCAAATCAAATAATATATCTAAAAGAGGGGATGCCAAAAAAATCTAAATAGAAAGCCTTTCTAATAATAGGAGGAAAAGAAATAACAGAACTATAAATAGTTAAATGGGCCGGATGAATAGCCGAAATATGATGGGCAACCAAATTCTTCTGTATGATAATATACCTAATCTTCTTTAGTGTGTGTGTGATGTCTTAATTCTTAACAAGGTTTTCTTTAAATAAGGGGATCCGTAATTGGACTGACATGTAGGCAAATCACGTTGTCTTTGCTGCAATAGAAGTTGGGAATACTTCAGAGACATCACACTATAAGAATTTGAAACGACTATGTCTTAAATTCTAGTTGTCGTGTAGGTGTAATCACGATGCCTTAGGCATTCTCTTTTGTTCATCTTAAGTTTCCTGCATTCTCTTGCCCATTCTCATTTTATCACTTTCTTAATCAAACTTAAAAAAACAGTTTCTTTGTGATCAACCTGGTATTTTGTCAGCAGTTTATTACTATATCAGCACTTCTACACTTGCAAATTTAGCCCGATCACGTTGTTTCTGCTACCACCTTGTGTGTTTGGATGTGTTTGTTTTGTTTATGAAACAACACCTTGGGTATTCACGGCTTCAAAAGGGATATTGCTGTTTCAAGAACAGCATAATCGATAAGAGTATTTTATTCTATTTCTCTGCTGCTACTGCAGGCATTTTATCACTTTCTTAATCAAACTTACAAAAACAGTTTCTTTGTGATCAACCTGGTATTTTGTCAGCAGTTTAATACTATATCAGCACTTCTACACTTGCAAATTTAGCCCAATCACATTGTTTCTGCTACCACCTTGTGTGTTTGGATGTGTTTGTTTTGTTTATGAAACAACACCTTGGGTATTCATGGCTTCAAAAGGGATATTGCTGTTTCAAGAACAGCATAATCGATAAGAGTATTTGATTCTATTTCTCTGCTGCTACTGCAGGCATTAGGTATTAATCTGTCGTGGAGGCTGCACAAAGCATCCGATGGTCAAAGGAGGAGGGTACAAATTTGTATGGGTCTTCTGAAACCATTTACGGTAGATCAACCCTAACATTTGGCACAAATTTTTATCTGTTAAATACATACAGTTTGTTTTTTAAAACTTTTAATTAGTGGCACTTTCTTGAACTCAACTACTGACAAAATATCAAATCTTTTAGGTGCTCCTCCTTGATGAGATCACTGTTGACCTAGATGTACTTGCAAGGGCTGACCTTTTGAAATTTCTGAAGAAAGAATGTGAAGAACGAGGTGCTACAATTATTTACGCCACACACATCTTTGATGGTCTTGAGGACTGGCCTTCTCATATTGTAAGAAGAGACATGTATTGGCATAGTTCTTATGTATTTGTCTATTTGGATCTTGTTGTTGAAACAAACCTAGCTTATAGTTCACTTTATTTTAGGTTTATGTAGCTAATGGAAAATTGCAACTAGCTACCCCAATGAGCAAGGTTAAGGAGATGAGCAACATTTCACTAATGGTATGTCTAGCTTCTTAGAACCCATATTTGTTATCCTCTGGCATTTATGGTAGGTATGGGGTAAAATTTAAACTATCAGTTACTCAGTATAAAGGACCTCCTTGAACTGCCAAAGTGTCTCTTATGACCATTTTGCTACATATATGGCAAGAGGAATTGTACAAAACATATAATGTATTTAAGCCAGGAATCCATAACTGTTAGTGATTCATAAATTTTTCACAACCACACTCATATTGGTATATGTAATTTCTTTATGTAATCCTTTAGTTTTTTGCATTTCTCAAATGCCATCTATTGTGCATGCTTTGTAAATTAATCTCGAGGTATGCTAAAATGTCCTTCGAAATTTTGAAAGCTAATCCTAGTAATTTTAGTAAGTAATTTTGTACGATTTTCAAGGCAATATTTGTTTCTTTAGTAAATACCAAAAACCAAAGGGTATACATGTTTTCTCTACCCATAGCTATGAATATCTTTCTTTCTATACTATTCTTCTGGATTTCAATTAATGGTACTGTCACCAATTGGATGTGCAGAGAACAGTAGAAAGTTGGTTGAGGAAAGAAAGGGATGAGGAAAGGAAACGGAGGAAAGAGAGGAAGGAAAAAGGGCTTGCGCCATTCGATAAACAGATTGATGGAACTCGTGTGGTAGGAGACCCAGCTCGCTCATTAAACAATGGTTGGGCTGGTGGAAGGCTACATTCTACCCTTGCTGGTGAAGAAAATTTTGTGTATAGCTCAAACAGGGTTTTGAGGTAGTAAAGAGATTGGTATCCAATCATGTTTTTGTCACTTTTAGATCTCGACTATTTGACATTTTTTATACTTGACTTTCAAAGTTTCCACTTTAAGTCCTTTGGATATAGTGATAGAGACACTTTTGTGTTTCAACTATTGAGAAAGTGTCACTTTTGGTCATTCAAATTATCGTAGTGAATTTTTAGTCCTCCATTTATTGTGGCGAAGTCATAGTGGAAGGATTAAAAGTATCACTTTTATAAAACTTGATCGACTACATATGAATTTTTTTAAAGTTGGATACCAAAAGTTTATCTATCACTTGGTAATTCTATGTCGAGTACTAAAAGTGACATAAAATAGTCGGAGATAGTGGGAGGATGAAAAGTGTCACAAACTCATTTATAATAATTCTGCTATGTTTCTCTTAATTAATACTACCTCCGGTTTTTTTTTAATCTTCACAGTTTGACTTCACACAAAATAAGGAAAGAAATTTGACTTTACTGTAGAGTACAATGTGAGGCACTGTTTGACACTGTTTTGATGTAGATTTCTTTGCCAAAAAAGGAAATAAGGAAGTGTGAAGTTTATTTTAGACCGTCCCAAAAAGGAAAGTGTGAAGTTTATTAAAAACCGGAGGGAGTACTACGTATATTATTGTACATTGCTCTATTAATATCTATTGAATATTAAGATTTCCGACAAAGAAGAGTGGATAATAAAGGTGGTAAGAATAAATTCATCTCGTTTCAATTGGGAAATGTAATTGCTAGACTATCTGGTTCATTAAATGATGTCTAATAAAAGACTACGGGTTTTGACTTTTGTGTGACTTGTGAAAACGCAGGAAATGCTCAGATTATTTGGTTTTAATTATCGGCGATTCAAAATGTAAACCATAATATCTAAAGTGAAGCAATGAGATCCGGAAATGGACTCTTCTTTTTTAATTGACAATATTTTTATTCCAATGAATCAATTTCACCTAAAAAGATTGGCTTTGAATAAATAAATATTTGTACAACACCGATTTTAATTTCACCTCAAAGTCTGAAGTAAACTACCTGAGTAATCATTTAAATATAGTCAGACACTCAGACCTGACTTGAAATATAAAATGAGCATTAGCCACATGTTAAAATAGGAATGTGTGATAGAATAAGAAACAGCCAAGGCCAGCATAGTCCATACTCCATAGATCCAGATATAATATAGATTATAGACTATGCAACCGCTGAGCTTTGGGATCGAAACCTAGCAGATAAGGGGCTTTCGGAACCTCGCTGCGTGGGTGGTTTTCTAGCAGTGCCAAGGGCCATCTGTGACCAATTCCTGGAAATGATACCAAGTTTTCAGAAGCTCTCACCAATTCTTGAGATTCTTATACAATTTGATGCCATTTGATTAGTAGCTTTAAGCATCCATTTGATTGGGCCCGTTATACATAAAAATGTACATGTAAAGCACTATGAAGGACATAACGATGTGATTTAAATTCTCTAACAACATAGAAAGAATAAGCTAGAATACTTTTCTAAAGAAAGAAAATATTTCTAAACAGTTCTGTTTTCTAAATTTGGAAAACTTTCCCATTGCTACAATGGGATATTGGGATACAAATATACAATCGTGCAAGTTAATAGATATAGTAAGCTTCTACATTTTCTTAGCAATTATAGCCATATTCCTTGGAGACAGCACTGGGTCAAAAAGAGGAAACAGGCCAACTTGCATGCATTTACCACTCTCCTGGAGGAACAATAACCGATCAAGCAAAATAATAGTTTCCAAAACAGGCCCTAGAGCCGCACGAAGAGACCAATAAGGCCCTATCATCCCCTGCATTAAGAATCGGCTCATTATTATGTTCATAGGTTTGAACAGTACTATACATATAATAAAGGTGCCATCGGCAGGCGTCCTGACGTCTTGTCGCCGAAGAGACAAAAAAGTCTTATTTCCCATACAGTATATTTATAATTGATGAAATGGATCCCTGATATGAAAAATCCATAATGCTAGGTCCAAGGCGATTAGGCGACTGGCCACATCTACCTCATTAGAAACCCACTAGTGATCTGATAAACTAAATATTGTGTAAAGATAAAAGCACTTACAGCGAAAGGTTGTGTCTCCTTCCATATGTCAAGATAATCTATTTCCTGTGACTGGAGGCTAAGGCGGGCAAGCCCAGATTCACAGAATTTTATGAATAATGAAAAACTATCCATTGAATTGGCAGTTCCTGTTCGGGAACTCAGAGCGGAAGATGTTTTATTAAAGAAGGCACCATCATCATCACAGGCTAAACCTTCAACACCTAAAGGATAATATTGTATAAATATGAGAATGGTTGTCATATTTCAGATTTTCAGTAAATAAAATTTTCAAGTTAGTGGGACTTTTCAGATGTGTCAGCACCATAAAAAAGTAAGTAGCGTGACTATTCTAACACATCAAGTTAGTACCCAACTTCTCATTTGTAAATGCAATCCTTTAAATTAGCGGTGGCAGTTGCAGTTCTTACAATATATGTGGGGTGGTCTGGTCAAGCACAAAAACAAAACCATTTGCAACCATGACAACTTCTCATAAAACACCCACACCCACACACATATATAAAGAGAGAGACATGCTCCAAGACCTGGGCCATCGGGCACCTTAGCATACTCACCAAGCATACCCAACACTTTATTCAAAATACCAAAATACCACTTATCAAGCACTCACCCCCTTAGCATACCCCACGATGAGCCTTCATTCATCCACATTACAATTTAAAATAACTTGATACCCATCCCTCAAGGGTACTTTGCAATTTTATAGGGGTGGTAAGTCTTGTAAGGTACCGAATGGGTGGGTTTTGGAACAGTTCTCTATATATGCCTGTTGTGTGTGTTTACAATAACATTGCTAGTGAATCAGTTTACCCTTCTTGACATCATATCTACAGCCAAGGCCAGACATGGAGCACTTATTCTCATCATAACTTATGTTCTGTGAGGAGCATCCACTATATTGTTTGGGACATTGACACTGGAAATTAGACCTCAGGGTTCTGTTACAATGTTGGCGGCGTAGTGTTTTTCCTTGACGCCCTATTGCAGGACTTTTTGTCAATACATCTGAATAATATTGCAATAGAATCTGCAAATCAGTCAACCCAGTTTTAGATAACGGCTCCTGAAAACCCTTGTAAAAGGAAGAAAGCAAGAACCATGGCACTTCAAATTTGACATGACTGAAACCCAAAGACAAGCCAGCAAAACTGCAAGTACCATCTGGAAGGCAGCACGAAATGCATGCAATTCAAAGTTGTCTAGTCCAGCAGCTTGATCTAAGCCTCTCCATCTATCTGCACTCTGTAAACCAAGATAGGACAATATCACGATAAGCATGGAAGCAAGGTTAGTCTAACATTTTTGTATCACAACTCTGGATTCATGTGTGTGTCAGTGTGTGTGTGTCTATATATTGTGAAAATTAAAAACGAAAAAATATGCATATACCTGGCAAGCAAGATCGCGGGCACTTTTTCCAAGACATAAGCCAAAAGTTCTAGCACTTTCACTAACTGGAAAACCAGAGGGAGGACCATCCATGCTAGAAGCTTCTTCAGTGAGCATGTTATAACAGCATCCAACACTGATCACTGCTTTTATTTCATCGCAATCCAAGAATGTCCTACTCAGATCCAAATTTAGTCAAAATGCAAACACAAGTTACAGGTAGTCTTTCTATGTCAAAATGAAGTTGGCCACAATAACCCTTGAACAGTTCCAGAAGATTAAGCTCATATCACAGACAGAAAGCTGACCAGAGAAAAAAGCGAGTGTTTAGTATTAGTAAGAATGCAAAGCAGTTGTTGTCCACTTATTCATTCAGTCTTTCATGACCTTTGTGGTATCCTTGATAGATGGGTCTTCATTTGATTATCATGGATATTCAGATTATTCTGAGACATTAAACAAGGCAGTATCATGCATCCAATCACCTCAACATAGTCACAGAAAGATCTCCACAGGCATGAAGTCCAGCTAGAATCAATGATGAATCCCCAATCATGCAGGAATGAGGACTTAAATGTTCCTCAACTGGACTGTGTCCAATAGAACTTTCTCTTAAAAGGCAATGTTTTTCAACACCATAACTCAAGGCCTTTAATGTCTCAGAGGACAATATTTGACAGGTCACTGTCTTTGGCACACACCACTTTCTGCCATCTAATCTGGAAAAAAAAAATGAAAGTGGCAACAAATGCTCATGATTACAATGCCAGCAACTATATGCAAACTGAATTAATTATAGAGTAAGAATACATCTAAATCATTTCATACGACATAGTTTTTTAAAGTTAATAACTTCAGATAAACTTTCAAGTTTAAGCCATATACCCAGATTTGCGCATCTTTGAGGCATAGTGCTTCCTAATTCTCTCAGCACGTGCTCTAGTAATCTTTCCATGATGCGAAGAGGCATCAATCGCCACAACAGAAAGGTCATGTTCAAATGAAAGCACTTGTGCAAGATGACCCTAAAAGAACGCAGGAGAAAATGAGACCCTAAAAACATAAGTGGGAAAGGCCCAAGTCAAATTGTTTCTGTCTATCTTAATAATGCAACAATAATACTTATTTAAAGAAGTTGAGATGTGTAATAAAATTCATTATTTCATTAAAATTATTGTCCTAATTGGTAGTGCTAACCCGAGGAGCATCTATACCTAGTACAGTAAAAAAGAAGGCTAAATTGGGTGAAAATATGGGGATACAAATCTTGCCATTAGCAACCAATCAGAGTAGGAGAACCACCTGACCAGATCCAACATCAACTATTGTTTTTGTTTCAACATCTTTGGCAATCACACCCACCACTGCAGCAAGTACTTCCACCTGCTTATGCAATGACACCTGGTTACCCCTTACAATAGTAGAATTTTGAGATGAAAAACGATTTAAGAAATATGTATCTTCTATGAATAAAGCACATAGCTCCAATTATATTTTGGTGGTGATTTTTATGATGTTAAAGCTTTCAGAAGAACTCATGCTTTATACAACTTGAAAAGACTTGTCTGAATGCCATGGTCTGATCCGGGGCATGCTATTATAAAAACTCAGCACATAAGCAAAATATATTCATGTAAGAAAGGAACACTATGTTACTTTACATATTAGAATGCAAGTCTGCCTATAAAGTAAAATGCAAACAGATAGTTGTGCCAAATTCTGCCATCAGTTGTTAAATAGCATGTTAGCATACAACAATGGTCAGGCAATTCCAATGTCATCCAGACATGCATATCTAGCAAAAAATAAGTAAATAACAGAAGTTAAAATATAAATAATAAGGGGAAATTTCCCATGTCCTACTTCGTGTTTTTTCTTAAGGTTCATGCCTTGAGCAAGAACAGTACTCAGTGAGGCCATTTGCAACAGTGGGAATTCCTGTAAGCAAACATAAAGATCAGTGTAACTCACTTAGAGCGTAATGAGATGTTATAGTTAAGGAAAAGTAACATGGTAGAAGTTTATTATATCGTGCTCAGATAATAATGTGGATTGTACTTCTACAGGCCCCAGATTGATTAAGGTTGAAAAGGGGGAAATACGTAGTAAAATACCTCCTGCAAATTTGCCTGTTTTCTGGGAAGAGAAAGAGACCTCAGAGTGATGATAAATTCTTTGAGTGAAGCAGGCCAGTGGTCCTGGGAGATAGCAACGGAAAGTCAGAAAGAAGAT